TGTCGCCTCAACCGTTCCTTTTGAAAGATTGTTCCAGTCCCTGATTGTCTTGGGCAGGAATGAGCAGCTCCTATACTGGCTTCTTGCTGGTATAAGCCTGAATTGCCTGTCATGGCCTCGTCGCTGTGTATGGGGGAGAGGGACGAGTTTCTGTTTAATATTGGAACAGTGTAGTAGCCCATTATTTATCTTGTACATCAGGGAAGCCTGGATTGTCGTCGTCGTTTCTCCAATGGTGACCAGCCTAGTGTTTCTAGCATGCTGCCAACACTAGAGGTATTCCTGTAGCGGTTTAGGACAAAGCGTGCTGCTCGTCGCTGGACCGCCTCCAACCTGTCAATGCTCTTCTGGGTAAATGATGGGGAAGATGCATAATCTAAAATCGGACGGATAAAGGCTTTATATGCTTTTTCTTTCACACAGGAGTTGCCTATCTTTAGATTTCGCCTTAAGAACCCTAGGGTCTTGTTTGCTTGGTTACATACATTGTTAACATGCTCGTCCCAGCGGACCTCTCTTTGAATGATAACACCCAGGTACTTTACGGAGGAAACTGGCTCAAGAATATGGCCGTGCAGTTCGTATTGGTAGTGTAGAGGAGTACAACTTCTAGAGATTGATAGTGTCTGGCACTTGGCAGGGTGAAATTCCATGTCCCAGCTCATCTCCCACTCAGCTAACAGATTGAGATCCTGTTGTAGCTGGTCCTGGTCAGATCTGTTGGCGATCGTCCTATACACTGCTGTGTCATCTGCGAACAGTCTTGCCTGTGATGTCAGTTTCTCGGGTAGGTCATTAATGTATGCTAGGAACAAACAGGGGCCCAGGACTTATCCCTGAGGGACCCCTGACTTCACATCGACAAAGGAGGAACTTGTACCGTCCACCACTACTGCTTGGCGTCGGTGCCTGAGGAAGCTAGAGATCCATGTTTTAGTGGTGCCTTGAATCCCATATCTCTGGAGTTTGTGTAGAAGCAAATTATGATTCACACGGTCAAATGCTTTTGCGAAGTACATTACTAGCATGTCAGTCTGCTTGTGGTTCTCCAGATTGGTCATCAGGTCTTCTACAAATTCGAGAAGCTGGGTCTCACATGATCTATTGACTCGGAAGCCATGTTGACAGTCATTGAGTATATTTTGGCTTTCAAGATGCTTCATGGCTGTGCTTAAGTCCATGCTATTAATATATTAATTATGTGATAAGATAATGAATAGGTTGTGATTGGGATAAGTTTCTCTATTTGTGATTATCATTGCCTATTCGTGAGGGTGTATTAATAATAAATGATAGTCACTATGTTTCACTGAACTCCACAACGCCTCTGTTGTTGATTATTACATAGTTAGTCATTAGCATTGTGGTAGTCTGTGCACGGTGAGTGATTGTAGCCGTGACACGTGGTATGCGCACGAGGTCCCTAATAAGTAATATTATTGTTGAAATAAATATTAAGCAACAAAAGTTCCATGGAAAAAAAAAATCAGCTTGCAAAATATCCGTAAATGTACAGATGTTCCTTAGAAATTTGACATTAAATAACTTGTCCATAGAAGTTCTTAAAAACTTTACGATGCTCGTAAAAAACTGAAATTTACTTTAGGTCTTTGTAGCAAAACAAAACTTAAATTCTTAGTATTTGATTTTTTTTTTATTTTATAATTATTTGCTTTGAATGATTGAATATGTATGAAATAAGCGAAAGTATTTAAACAATGCTGCGAGCGTCATGCAAAGAACAAACATGCCTTAAAACCGGCAATGCCTCAATATCTGAGTGAAGGTGATGATAGTGGCCATTGAACAACCTCAATATCTGAGTGAAGGTGATGATAGTGTCCATTGAACAACCTCAATATATGAGTGAAGGTGATGATAGTGGCCATTGAACAACCTCAATATCTGAGTGAAGGTGATGATAGTGGCCATTGAACAACCTCAATATCTGAGTGAAGGTGATGATAGTGGCCATTGAACAACCTCAATATATGAGTGAAGGTGATGATAGTGGCCATTGAACAACCTCAATATCTGAGTGAAGGTGATGATAGTGGCCATTGAACAGTCTCAATATGTGAGTGAAGGTGATGATAGTGGCCATTGAACAGTCTCAATATATGAGTGAAGGTGATGATAGTGGCCATTGAACAGTCTCAATATATGAGTGAAGGTGATGATAGTGGACATTGAACAACCTCAATATATGAGTGAAGGTGATGATAGTGGCCATTGAACAACTTCAATATATGAGTGAAGGTGATGATAGTGGCCATTGAACAACCTCAATATCTGAGTGAAGGTGATGATAGTGGCCATTGAACAACCTCAATATCTGAGTGAAGGTGATGATAGTGGTCATTGAACAACCTCAACATGTGAGTGAAGTCGGTGATAAGTGACGTATAATGCTGGGACGGTGTATTTCACTACGACTGGCCATCAATTTCGGTAAACTCATGGTGTCACGCAGTGCGGTAAACTCGTGATGTCACCCCCTCCAGACGTCTACTCTCTCATGTGTAACCCTGTGCGGTAACCTCATGGTGCCACCCAAGGCGGTAAACTCATGGTGTGACGCAGTGCGGTAAACTTATGGTATCTCTCAGTATGGTAATCTCGTGGTATCACACAGTGCAGTAAAAATCATGGTGTCACCCTGTGCGGTAAAATCGTTGTGCCACTCCCTCCAGACGTCTACTCTCTCATGTGACAACATGCTCTGATGGCACTTTACTTTGGTTGCACTCTATTCTGGTGGCAACCTGCTCTGGTGTCAACCTGCTCTGATAACCCGGTCTGGTGTCAACCTGCTCAGGTGTCATCCTGTTCTTTTATTTAAATAATAATAATAATAATTAGTGGTCTTTTATAGCGCGGTACCCCAGCCTAGGACTGGGCTCACCGTGCTGTACATAAAAATATTATCAAAGAGACATAATCATGACATTAAAATCAAATACAATTATTAAATAAAGAACAGCATGAACCCCAGGACTTTTACAAGGCAAACCATAGACGGCAGCCAGCAAGATCATTTATCGGTCAGAGGAGTGGAATCAGTCAGGGTAGTATAGTTTAAAGAGATGTGTTTTGAGTGCAGTTTTGAAGGCCTGGGTGGTTGGTATATTGCGGATGTATAGTGGTAAAGAATTCCATTGTTTGGGGGCGCAGAAAGAGAAAGATCGTTCACCATATGTTTTAGTGTGAGTCTTGGGAATGGACAGAATACGCGTGTTTGCGGAGGAGCGAAGCTGTCGAAGGGGTGAATAGACAGAAAGAAGTTCGGTTAGATAAGAAGGGCAGGAATCAGAGAAAAAGTTGTGACAGAGAACAGACAACTTGTAGTCAATGCGTGCCTGTATAGGGAGCCAATGAATGGAGTGGAGTAGTGGAGTGACGTGATCACGTTTTTTTGCCTTTAGAACTAGCCTAGCAGCTTAGTTTTGGACTTTCTGCAGTTTTTCTATGCAGTGTTTTGGTGAACCTGACAGAAGAGAGTTGCAATAGTCAAGACGAGAGAGAACAAGAGCACAGACTAGAGTTTTTGTAGCGCTAACTGTGAGGTAGTGGCCGATGGAACTGATCTGACAGATAGCGGTGTATGCCGAACGACAAATGTGAGAGATATGTTTATCGAGAGACATGTTGTTAGAAAGAATATAACCAAGATTCCTAGTAGAGGGTGTAAATAGTATGTCTGAGTTACCTACTTGAAATGAGGTGGGAAGAGTTGAGCTAGACGATGATGTGTGATTGTGCATGAGGAGTGCTTCCGTTTTGTCATCATTAAGCTTCAACTTGCTGAGTGTCATCCATGACTTGACATCATCAATGCACCCCCGCAAAGTCTGAACAGCGGAATCGACAAGAGAGGGTTGGGTATGCTTGTATAGCTGCGTGTCATCTGCAAATGCTAATAACAAATACGACCGGCTATCAAACCTCTGCTCAATTTGAAATTGTCCATATTCGAGTCGTCTCCCCTTCCCACCGTTCGAACAATGAGTGTACTAGAAGAAATCGTCTCACCCTCCCACCGTTAAAACAAGGTGTGTACTAGAAGAAATTGACTTACTAGCGTAAGTATTATGTTTGTGCTATTTCTTACACGTAAGTCGTACGTTAATTAAATGTAAAAATTATAAAACAGGCAGTAGTTACAGCAATTTTTAAAGATGTTTCGAACAATTTTTTATCAGTGATCTCCTCTGAACTATTGCCGTTTCCATCGCATTGACAACATTTGTTGTTTTAAAAGTACAGTTCAGTTTTTTTTAAAGAGTTCAAACAATATTTGAAGAAAACACACACTTCTCCAAACGATAAATGATTTAACTTTAATTCGTTTTTCTCCTTCAAATTAATATCATCAAAAAGTTTGTTCCGTAATTTACTATCACCGTTGAGAAATTTTTTGGACACTTTTGCTAGCAAAATGTATTGCGAAACAATGAATAGCCTATAATAATGGTACAATAATTAGTGGGATCCAAATCAATACTGATAGTAGTTATACATTCCAGAAACTGCAACTTTACTTTGACATTTTTCGCGTTCTCTATGATAGTCATCAACTCCGTACCATGATTCTGTATAATTTAAGCTGACTTGATGGATTTGGACATGTCATTGAGAAGTGGCGAATCATGGATATAGATCAGGGGTCTCAAACTCAAATTAACTGGGGGCCGCAGGAGGTAGAGACTGAGTGAAACTGGGCCATATTATGTAATCCACACAAAAAAGTTATTAAAAATTCAAGTACAGCTGTTACAATCTGCTCAAACTTTACTAATAACAAATAAAACATTATCATGAAGGGCTTTCATGAACTAGGCGTAACTTAATTTCTTCTTCTACATCTAAGCTCTCATCAAGAGCGCTTGAGTATGCATGGAAATGTTTACCTTTCTCGCACATTGATCATAAACCTCACCTGACAGCTCAGAAATGCGCTCTGCCACTGTGTTGGCTCAAAGGCTGATGTTGCTAAACCGACCCTTATTTTCCGGACAGACTAAACTTGCAGCTTGTGACAGGCAATTTTTGATGAACTCTTCTTTGAATAACTTTCCTGGCTTAGCAATCATCTCACCCACCCCGTAACTAGCTTCAACTGCTGCACCACTTTCTTTATTTGCTTTCTTGAAAAAATCACGCTGCCTCCGTAGACATGTTTTAAGTTTAGCAACCCGGGCCTCTCTCTCATTTCCCTGGTATTTTGTATACTCCTCAGCATTTCTGATTAAATAATGACGTCTGATGTTGCTCTCCCTGTGCACCGCAACTTTCTGGTGCATGCAAGACACGTTGCAATGCCCATGTGCTCAACAAAGCAATCGTCCGTCTCCCACTTCTCCTGAAATTGTCTGCGCTCATCGCCCACCTTTCTCTTCACAGCAGGTTTTGAGAAAGACATGACTGGGGTCGGGTGACACAAATATTTATTTTCACTGTTTGAAAAAATATATTTTTCTTCCACTGGGGAAACACTCCCAAATCATGTTTCACGAGACAAAACTAACAGGCTCGGGACTTCCGTCACTCATCACTGGTACACACTAGCGGCAATTTTAATAGGGATTGTTTGATAATGTGTCAGTTTGCTACGATTTACACAGTTATGGTTGTGTATTACCCACTGACTTTTTAAACGTTATTTATGCATATACATTTTCGAAGCGTGTTTTCTCAAAAGCGCACTTTGGCCATGTTTGTCTCATGAAATGCTATCAAATAAAACCTTTTATTCCGATTAAAAACGGTTTTTGCCATTTTAATCACGACAAAACCTATCGGTTTTAAATAAACATAATAAAAATCAGAATTATTCTCTATGACTGAAATCGTCGTGGAGGGTCACATGACAGATATGAGAATGTGGACAACGCGCGGGCAGCATTAATACTAAACGTTGCTGTCAGGTAGCGGGCCGCAAAATACCGTCTTGCGGGCCACAAACGGCACGCGGGCCGCGAGTTTGAGACCCCTGATATAGATGGTTTGAAGCCTATTGGAAGAAGTGACGATCTCGAGAGAAATTATTCCGGAAGAAATACAAACAGCATCACCGTGACTTCAACTGCTTGTGCCGCTGGCAGATTCCTTTTCACCCAAATAGCAAACAAGTTTGACAGTGTCGGTAGCCTTCTTGCACGGGCAAAAAATAAGTGTTTCTTTTTCAAAATATTAAAGTTGCTACAAACTTACTGGTCTCGGGCTCGACTGAATAGATTGTCAAATAGATTGTCAACATTGCTATTTCAACGAGACATTGTGACAACCTTAAAGCATGAATTTTTCTCCCTGTTTAATGAGCTGCCCGATTACCGCCTGAAAGATTGTTTTGTTATGACGCACTCTCTATAAACTACCGTAAGTGTATTTATCCTAATCCTTGTGCAGCTTAGGCATGTGGAATGTATCATGGTATATTCATGAGAAGCTTACTGACTGTACATAATTTACTGATAGCATCTTAATATCATCTTCCAATTAAAAAAAAAAGGTGTGTGAAAGAGTCCTGGGTTGAATTTAGCTAAGGCCTTGCATTAAAAGAGGCCTCAAATTTACACGAGGCTTTCTAAAGATTTACAATATTATAATTATACTGGAAACCGTATATCTTTTTACCAAGCACAAATTGAATCTGGGACAACAAAAACAACACCGGCCGAGACACCGTACGAGGCCGAGACACCGTACAAGGCCGCTAAAGTGAGACGAGCCTTTTCCAGTGACCAATGGAAGTCTGGATGGACTGGTTTAACATACGGTTTTTTAGCTATCATTTTTTTTAAAAATATTTCTTTTTTGTTTTTAAGGACACGATGAAACAACTGAAGGAAATCGCTCACATGCCTCATGATATGAGCTTGCTAAAACCTAAAGATGAAATGGGTAAACAAGCATAATTCATTCTTTCTATTTGTCTGGCTTTTCTGGGGACATACTAGAATCTTTAAAGCACAATTAACTCAAAACACATTTAGGAAAATCTATGTGGAGAATTTAGATGGCAAAAACAGATTACTTTGAAGAAGTCATGTAAAAAAAAAAAAAAGATTGATGCACTACTAAAAGTAAGATATTTTTTAAAAAGTATTTCAAAGTGTAAGGGGCCCTGAAGTTTTCTTACATTTATGTGACCTTTTGACCTTGAATGACCTTTTAAATGTATTGACCTTGAATGAAAAGTCTTGAACATTTTAATTAGATAGTATACATATAATTCCTATGAAAATTTGTCTAAACATTATCTTCAACATTTTAATTAGATAGTATACATAAAATTCCTATGAAAATTTGTCTAAACATTACACTGATAATTCTCCAACAATGTTTAAAAATGGCCGTCATTATAGCAACTAGGAAGAGTGAATTTAAATTCACCAAATTAATCAAAGTCATAAACTATTTCCAAAATATATATTATAATATAAATATATTATATTAGACTCCATTGTTTGGAATGTATTTTTTCTCTCTATGCCCCTATTATTATTATAATAATTATAATAATAATTATTATTATTATTATAATAATTATTATTATAATTATAATAATAATTATTATTATAATTATAATAATAATTATTATTATTATTATAATAATTATTATTATAATGTTGGTTTAATAAATCATACATACACATGCAAAAATAATTTCAACCACTTTTTTTTTTTTTTTAAATTTTATTTTCATAAACAAGCTCAAGAAAAAAGTAGTTTCACATGTTCATCTTTAGTTGGCAATAAAGATTCCACCCACCACAATGCGGGCTGACATCAATTTGAACACTGAAGAAAACCTTTACAAATTAGCCAATAATAAGATGAATAGCATGGTTTTGAAGTCATGAAAATTACCTTCTCAACAAAACACTGCTTTGAACAGGCCAGTCATCCCCCCCCCCTTCCTCATAAATATTGTAAAAAGGTTTAAGTAATGCAAACATCACATTACTTTTTACTCCAATCTATGTAGTCCCTGTTGCTGATTTGTGACATCTTAAAATATTTATAATTATAAGCATTATGAGATCAGCTTTCATTTTATGGTCAACTGTCTCTTTTCAACATTAAAAAGGATGCGTTGTAGACTACTGAAACTAGTTTCAAAATGATGATAAAACAGCTGATTACCGCATAATTATTATTTAACACGACTGGAGGAAGTAACAAAATAAATCATTATTTATTAAAGGCTGCAAGAGTTTAACACTTTATGTGAGTTTATAGAAATACCGCCTAGTGTTCCTCTGTGTGAGCAACCTTTAATATCCATAGCAATTATTAAAAACAAAAATGAAATTAAGTTTTGTACACAATAAATGACATTTATAACAAAACAAAACATATTCTCAATGATACACTATGTACATGAATACAAAAACCTAGAAAGAGCTATGAACTCGGCCTAAAACGGTGACACAACGGCTGTCCTTTTCCATTGATTATTTATATAGAGGCTAAAACATTTGGGTTAAACCATAAGATCATCAGCAGTGTTATGCACACACTTATTTTCTTTACTATGAGAACAATGTAGTAAGATGGGTCACTTTACTAAGTGTTCATTCCTTGCCTTCCAGTTCCAGTTACCAATGGTTTAGAAATATTTGGGTCTAAAATAAAACAACAACCTTATAATCTTCCACTGCGTTTATCCTGTTCAGCACAATGGTATCAAACATCAAGTGTTTCACTAACCAAGCACCCCATTTCAGTCCAACATTTATGTAAGGCATTCGAATCATCTAGATAGAAACATTTATCATCATTTTTGTTTAACATGGCTTTCAAAATAAGATCTTTATTGTTGAAATGTTTATAAACTGCATTTATTTAAAGGCATAATAATGGCAATAGAAATGAGACCCAAGTGTCTCACTGCAGCAATTCAGAATTAAGCATACAGATCTTCTCGGTCTGCTCCGGCCTGCTCATGCTCTTCCATTTGACTGAAGAACAAGAAGTGAGATGGCCTGTGAATCTCATGATAGAACTCTTTTGGATTGGACAGCCGGAGCTCATATTTCATGTTAGGGTCATGGCGAACACCTAAAGGAGACAAGAAAAACAGTATCGTGTTATATTTCATTAATGTAATGGTGATCATCATTTCAATATAAATTATTTTCTACACAACTACTGTGCAAGTTTCATGGTTTCATAAAAAGTCAAACCCAAAAAATTTCACTTATTATACATGTTTGTTTAAGTTGGGGTGACCAAACGTCCCGTAAAAACGGGATTGTCTCGTTTTTTCACGATCGTACCCGGTTGCCCTGAAAAAGTCTCGTGGGACGCCTAAATGTCCCGTTTTTAAAACGAAACACATTTCAAATAATAATAGATCTTATATGTATAGCGAAAGACATGAGACGTGAAGGCGCAGAAACCAATCCCAACAACCCTCATTGGGTGTGTCCAGTTTTTTCCAGTTCATGATTTGGTCATCCTAGTTTAAGTTTTAGATGGTTTGAAATTATACAATTACACAACCACCGCATATCTAACATTAACTTATTAAATTATTATCACCGGCTAGGTAAGGAAATTAATATCAACTCTATATTTCTATTTAATATAATTTCTCTTTGTCTCATTTGGACTTGTTCTAGTGAAAAGAAACATAATATAATTTGAAGAATTGAAAGTTAGAAACTTTGCATCAATTAATTTCTGTGAACTTTGTTTATTCCTGTAGTTAAGAGAATGAACAGTAAGTAACTCACCCATGAAATTGTAATTCCATGAATTCTGGGAGGGCACCATGAAGAATCCAAGAAACCTGTCAGAAAGTAACATCTGAACTCGTTCATAGTGAGATGGCAGGTAACCCTTGGGGTTGTTGCCGGTATCCTTGTTCTGCCTTCCCCATTCATAGCCACTGGGAGTCAGCTTGTAAGCCGTTAAAGAACAGGAGCCAGGAGTGAAACTGGGGAATAAAATCAAATGATATTTTACACACATCCTTTAAAATCCTTAAGAATTTTACAAGTTTAATTTTGTTTAAACTTGAATTCACACAAATCTAGATTTCCAAATGAATTCCATCAGTGTTGACTACCATTCTTCCTATAAGTAATGCAGGATGAGAGAAGGAGGAATAAGCGCATAATTTATTTTTTTATACGTTGAAGTGTAATGGTTCAACTTACAATGTATATAGTTTATGCTAATAAGCCCAGTCTTCAAAGAGTGAAGCAGGTGTTAGAAAGGATAATGTATTTTACGCATTTTGAAGCAAGAATTAACTTTCTTAAAAGTATCTACCTGCAGGTAATAACAACAGTTTTTTCCCCATCCCAAGATGGATTGTCAGCCATGACTTTTGCATGTGTTGTAATGTCTTGTGGTGCAAGCTGTGGTAACTCATTGGGCTGAGTGTGGATCCATCCAAGGGGTTCCATTTCCTAATAAAATAAATGATAAAAAATAATACGTAATTCCTTTGTTTTTGTCCAGCCAATGTGAGTAATTTCTCAACTCTACTTTTATACTGCGATCATAATAACTAATGCAGTATACTTTTTACTCAAATGTTTATGGAATAATTTCATCGCCACCTAAATATATACCAATAGCTACAATACACACAATGCTTGCTCCTCCATATTAGAGATGAAAATATTCCAAGTTAATATTTTACTGTATATACTCAGGCTTATGTTGCACTAGTGGTTAAAGTGAGTTTTCGCAGCAGTTGACCCAGAGAGAGGTCGCACCCTTGGTTAAATAAAACTAAAAGAATTTTTTTATAGGCATCCATCAAACGTTACAATTAAAACTTAAAAAGCAAGATGCAATCATCATTAACCATGAGATCTCTAATAAAAGATTGCCTTACATTTGAGCAAGGCGGAAAGCGATTCTCCTACTTTTTGTATGTATAAAAGACTACACAGTGAATAACAGTAACTAAAATTGATCTTGAGTGGATAGATCCCACCTCTGAACTTCATACATTTTTGGTATAAATGTGCAGCCTTTACTCATATATACAGTATTTAAAAAATACCTAATTATTAGGATGATAAAATAATACAAGCATGATGCAAAACAGCTAAGTTTGTGATCAACATGCATTTATATAATGTAAACTGTAAGATCTAAATAATAAATTTAGACTCAAATGACGTACATTAAGATACTCATGGTTTGGAAGCAAGTTGGGTAGGTGGACAGTCTGGTGAGTTCCCCATTGTGGGGGCATCACAATACATCTGATTTCTTTCACTTGAGGATTATCTGGTGGGCTGACCCCATATAAGTAACCAGAAATCTGAAAAACAGTAATGGGAGGAAAACCTGAAACTTCTTGTATTCAAATTCATGAATTATTTAAAAAATAGTCAAATTTTATAATTTAGTAATTAATTGCAATTTCAGTTGCGTAAGAAAAAATCCTATTTAAATTTGTATTTTCAGGAGAAAACAAAGTATTGAAAAAGCTGTATTAATTAAAAAACAATAACAGTTGAAGTATAAGTTTGATCGAAATTTACGTAATAATCCAGTATACATTATGTGATATATTTGGATTTGATTTAAACAAAATTTTATTCTATTTTGTAAACATAAATTTTTAACAAGTATTAGGAAAATTTATTTTTTAATTTCTCAAACATGCTCACCTGGGCACGCAGATCAGAAATAATGATAAACTTTTTCAGTACATTCTTGGGTAAGATGTAAGTATATCCAGTCTCTTTGATATCATCAGAGCTGACATAGATGTGGTTGGTGCGCAGATGCAAATTGGTGGCCGAGATGGCTCTCACACGCCACTCTGTCTTGGAGGAGAATGTGGCCGTCTCATGATTTGATGTGGTGGTGGTGATGATTTCATCACCATGTTTGTTGACTGTCCTGGTCGTGGTAGCAGTCATCTGGGATTGCTCTTTGGTTTGCTTTTCAATCTCAGCAATTTGCTGTCTCTGGGCACTAGGAGCGGAAATCTCCATACCAAGGATAATGTCTCGAGTTTCAGACTGAGTTAGAGAACTTACGTTGACGCTTAAAGTAAAACAGAAATAAGTGGTTAATATATATTTGATTAATTATTTTAAGAAAAGTCTAAAATGAATAAGATGAAAATATTAGATATTCATAAAGTCTATAATTACTCTACAGCGAGAACAATTATTCAATATGAGACTTCAAATATGATTTCTCTCTTACTTGTTCTTCTTGCCGTAATCAGCTAGAATAAGATCTTTGAGCTGTACTTCAATCTTCATCCACTCTTCATCTGACAAGGTTGGCCAGATGTGATGAGCTTCGGTTATGGTAGTCTTGTCGGGCTTAAGAAGGATCTTTGTTTTGTCATTGTTGACATGTAGAGCTCGGAGAATCAGGATCAAACGTGAAAAGGCCTATTTCAAAAATATTTTTTATATTCCTTATTACAATCATTAAAATTAGTGAGTTCATTGCATTGCAATAGTATTTTCCCAAAGATACTAACAGAAATCTCAGAAACTTTTACTAATTCATTAAGAAATCAAATAAAGCCAATATTAAACCACGAAAATACATAAATATTCCAGTAGATAGGATGATACCATAAAGTAGACTTACAGTGTAGGATGAAATGGTTTTGAGCCAGTCATCATACAAGTTGAACAAAACCATCTGAGGTTCAGTAGCCTTGAGAATAAGGTCACCGAATTTCTCTACTTTAAGACAAGCTTGAAATGGGAGCTGCAGCTCACTGCCCTTGATCACAATATTGGGGAAATCCAGCAAGTGAACCTGTTTTGAATATATGTGGAAGAATTTAGCTGTATTCTTGACCAGACATAATTGGTATTAGATCTAACTTTTAGGCTATCCGAGTTATTTGGTAAAGTTGTAGTATAATGCAATATTATATACATACATGTGAACTGGTCTCACCTCAAGAGGATCCAGCATACCCTTTCTGGTAACTATGATCTGCTTGGGTTGTTCTTCAACAGGTAAAGACCTGATCAAGGCAGCCACCTCTTCGGCTGTCTTCCACTTGGCTAGCTGACCTAGACGCTTCTGACCTGCCCACACAGATGTGTGAATGATCTTGAGGAAAAGCTGACCAGTTCGAGGATTGAAAATGAAGATGGCTCCATTGATTGGTTTTGTGGTTAAGTTACCTTCAAAGGTCTGTGGAGAAAAAGTGAGTTGTTAAAATACAGTATAATAAAATGGCAACATTTTTATAGCTTTAACATTTCTAAAAATATATTTTAATGTTAAGATGTAATGGTGATGGAAATGAGATAAAAGCTTCATCAAGCATAATTGCTTATAGCTGATTGTACAAATTCAGCCAATGCAGTTTAAAAATCATAGGTAACTTAAGTGAATTCACCTTGTGGATAGTGACTCTGTACACATTGGTATCATCTACGAACCAGATAATCTGATTGGAGAAAAGTTCTCCATAGTTTTGAGAGCTGAGGTATGGCTCAGTAGGTTCAGAAGAATATAGCTGTAGACCTTTTCGGATTCGTTCTCTCAATACATACAGTGCTGGATTGGCCTTCATAATCTTTGCCATTGCTTGTTGAATCAGTGGCTTAGCTCCAGGGAACCAATTGCCATAGGCGCTTTAAAGAAAGAAATCACATATCAGAAATGTGAATGAATATATTAAAACAAGAAAATATCCTTTGAAAATAAATATAAAATAAATCAAGCAGTTCTCCTTAAGAATCAAAATTAAAATATTTTAATTTGGTTTGAAGTTGGGATGCAGGGTGATAGGTACCTATGCAGATTGTATGCTAAATCCACAGCAATCAGAAGTCCTGTAGGTGAGGGATAGATACTCATGTTGTCTGTTGTGTAGTCCAAGAACTTAGCCCTGGCATATCTCTCCACATCATGGGAGTCATAGTCTCCCCATCTTAACTGCACATCTATCCAGTATTTCTGGGTTGTTGCTCCATCCATTACATCTCTATTAAATTGAATTCACATAAAGCTCTTTAAAAGCAATTAATAAATCAATACATTTATTTATCATTGCTTTCTTATTTTGAGATTAATTAAAGTTAGATAAATTATTTTAAACAAAACTACAACACAAAAAAACCCATCAATTATATTGTCCTAAATTGCGTAACACAAAATAAAACAATTTACATGACCCAAAATTTACTAGTGCATGGTAATAATACAAGTACCTTTTAATGAAAACAAAATTGATTAAAATTCAAGATAATAAATTTACTAGTTTCCAAGAACTCACTTTTGATCTGCCAACAAAGAAGGTTTGGCAACATTCCACTTGTATGCTGCAAAGAGTTGGATATCAGCACAAGAACTGTTCATCTTGTAAGACTTACGGGGGTGGATTGTTTCCTTCTGGACTGTTTCAATCTCAAGGGCATCAAGCTCTTGATCAAATACCTGGTAAAACACATGGTTGGCATTTGAAGTTCTCCAACAGAGATAACTTTAAACCAAGAGCAACTTTTATTATTAAACTATTTCTAAACAGATCTAATGTCTTGGAATTAAACATTTGATTCACGTGTACCTGTTAAGCCCTTTAGATTGTAGTTTTGCAGAGTATAGTTTTTTAAAACGTTTATTCATTGGAATTTACTTACAGACACCACAGAGCAAAATATTTTTGTAACTGTATCATAATTTTATTTTTGTATATATCAGACCTGTTTACCCTCAAACTCTTAAAATCGTACAATATCATCACATAATTGTTCAATACATTCTCTTTATAGAAAAAAAATGTGCAGTATATATAATTTATACACCTCAAAATCGTACATTGTACGCCAAAATCGTAAGAGTAAACAGGTCTGATATATATACAACTGAAAAACAACAGCCAGAAAAAAGTTGGTCAAAATATGTTTCATAAAAAAGTTTACCTGACACAAGTCCATGACAATGCTTTCATGGATCTTCTGCCACAAGTGAGCTCTGAAGATCTGGATAAGTGAAATCTTCAGTGTTGGGATCTTGCCGTGCATGAATATACCTGTCAAGTCAAGCTGTACCTGGAAACCTACATAGACCTGAAATAATGGAAAATGGAATGTTTATATTTATTTTGATTGGAAAATAATAATGAATAACTACAAACAGATTCTGTATTTTCAGTAAGTGATAAGGAAAATGTACAAAGCTAAAAATACAAATCTTAATCTTTCAACAATAATAACATACATTTATTTTTTAAATAACATCCAAAACAAATGTAAATCTAAGTGTTTCAATTGTTTATAAATGAATATTTAAAAATGAGGTAACACTTACATTAGCTCTGTTGATGGTAGGAGACCACCAGAGAGTGAATCGACGATTCGGAATCTGATTGAGACCTGAACGCTGGGCATTGGTCAGTTTCTTGTACTTCATTGACTCCTCAAAGCCACTTGCTCTCTCCCTGATTGTGGGATTAGATAGCATGATAATTCATAACTAATTGTCATGATGGAAGATCTGCCTAAGTCGCTTCACTTAACTCTCTGCAGTCTGACGTTTTTTTCACATTTCTTAAAAATCTTAAGGTGATTTTTTAATTAACTGATCTGAAATAGCTCTGATCTGATCAGTTAAATAGATTAACTTGTTCATCTTTGACTCAGCTATCATTAGATACTTTTTGTATATTTTTTTTTCTTAGTTATAAAAATAATTGAAACATTATTGGAGAATTATTTTTTTTCATTTTATGCAAAGTTTTGACAAATTTTCACACAGTATGAAGGAAAAAAAAAATCCTTGTTATAAAAGATTTAAAATTTGTTATAACAAATTCAATTATTAATTTAGTCAACAGGATTTTTTAAAAAAGGAAAGATGCTTATGTTGTTAAATTGGGAGGGTGTGTAGGAGAGAGAGAACTGAAAATATTTCATTCTATTTAATTTTATTTTGCGACAATTGCATCACAACAGCAATGAAATGGCAAGCTAGAAATCAGCAAAAAGGAGGACAATGGAAATGACTGATCAGTCTGAAAAAATGTATGCCAATTAAAACTAGGGTTTTCCAGTCAGAGTCAACAAATGATGGGAAACAGACATATCGACAGACCTCCCATGGTTATTTTATACTTGACCTAAATCCATGCATTATGCATCAAGGGTACAAATGATACAAAAACGGACTGAAAACTGACCAAAATAGACCTTCCCAAGTAGGGAAATAGGTTCCTTTGAAGAGTGTGTGTTCCAGAATGCCTTCCACACCACCCAGTGCTTGAATCATGTCAGTTCTGTAATTGTTCAAATTCCAGAGTTTACCATCATGGCGCTGGTGTGTCCACCAAAATGGGTTCTGTTTTAACACCTAAGAATAAAGTTAAACATTAAAAAAACATTTGAAACTGTTATCTTAAGTCATTTCTTAATATCATTGATAAAATCTAGATTAGCATGTGTGCAATTACTCCAAATATTTCTTAAAAGCAGGCAAATCTTGTCTTATTAATTCTTTTGTGATTTATATTTTTAAAAAAGCCTTTCTTTTAAATTTAATTTATTGTCATACTTTTACCACTGAATATCTGGAGTTGAATTACTAAAACATTAACAAAAGTTTGTTAAAATACCTGGTACTGCTTGAAGTCTGTTCGGACTCTCCATCCTTTGTCATATGCCAGGGTCTGTTTGTCCTTCTGGAAAAGTGTATTGATACGAGGGATACCCCGATCCCAGCTGTCCTCCAAATCTTCCAAGGTCAAGCGCCGATTCTGGGCATTAGCTTCATGTCTCTTCAAAGCATATTCTGCCCAAACTCTCTGAGAATCAATAAACTCACTTTCCCAAGGCATGATGTATCTATAAAGTCAAACATATATTTTTCTTTTATTCTAAATATAATTTAGGAAATAAGTAGATACAGTCTTCTTTGATGAATAACAAAGCAGTGGTTGCACACAAAAATTTATTTGACTATGGCATAAGATGAAATCAGATTTAACAACCATCTTTCATAAATAAAAGTGAAAATGATATGGGTGATAAAACTAGTCATATATAAAAGTCTATTTCCTTTGTTTACACAGTTATTGCTGTTTGTCTTCACTAATAATCAGCTGCTCTGAAAATAGGTTATGGAGGCGTTTCGTCAAAGCACAGTTGTGACCCAGTCCCAGGCCACAAAAGCTAATTTACCAGGTTGGAAAAATAAATTCTCAAAAAGTTAGCTAGGTATTTCACGCCATTGTGAACTCTACTGTTGCTTAACTATATAAGATATCTTAATACATAAAAGTTGTCTTGATACTAAGACAGGTACAATGATGATGCATCAACCCAATATAAACTAAATGAACAATTAAAATACAGACCTGTACAAGTTAGGAATGAGCTGGTCCTCATCATGTGACATGCCAGATAAGAAATGAGTAATGCCAACATCTGTTTGTTTGGACCATCTTAAATCTGACTGAGGGATCAGCACGTGACCCATGGACAACATTCCCAGACCACCCAGTTCTTTAGGTGTGTAAAACACAACTGGGGGAAATCGACTGGGCATTTTGGAGTTGAGTCCAATTTTGATACGGGTCTGAATTTTGTTTTCACATTTAACCAAGAGGTCAAGTAATTCTTGTGTGTTGACAACAGCCTCCCTAAAGTAGGTCATAAGACCAATCAAGGCTGTGTTCCATTTATTGACAATCTGCAAAATACGTAACAGCTTTCTTATTTTTTGGTTAACACTTTGAAGGAATTTCTCTGTCTTTAAAATATGTTGTTTGCCCTTAATTCTGTTTATAAAATTATCTGAATCTTTCTTAGCTTAAAAAAAAAAGAGTAAAAATAGTTTTAAAATTATTATTAAAAAAAAATATTCTTTAAAAAAGTAATATAAAAATTCAATTGATTACATGTTTTATTTATAGTATAACTCACTTTTGTGAAAGTTGTAGAGCCTGAAGCCATAAGGATCTGCCTGACCCTGTTATGAAATTTGCCCATGGAATCTTCATCGACTCTGAGGAAGCACTGAGCTGTTCTTTCCTTTGTTACCTGTCAGAGATAAGCAAGAATAGGATGGAGTTCACCACAAATGGATATAGGAGAGAAAAGAGAATATTGATTTTTTTAAAAATAAGTGCATTTATAGTAATTACAAGTTCAATCTCCTGTGGGACAGCAGTGAACTGATCCTTAAATCATTTATTTTTTTTATTACCAGGATTACAGACATTTAAAATATTATGAGTACTTTAACTCATGTAATTATTTTTTTTCTTTTAAAAATTACTTCATTTTGCAGATTCCAAACTCCATCTTTGTGTGTGAACTCCTCATGCTGAGTTCTACACTTGGGCAATATCCTACATTCAAATCCACACATGTTGAACAAGAGATTAGGGTTGTCCTTGCTGTAAACAGACACAAAGCTGGAATCCCATTGGATTGTTGTCACTGATCTAGGCAGTCGATTCTTGATGTCCCAGAAAACAGCTCTGCCCCTGAAGTGGAAAATAGTATCATCATATTACTTTATATACCCTGCATTTTTAATTTATTTAAATAATTTATTAAGAAAGCAGGAACGTTGAACTAAAATTTTTGATACACGCTATATTATTTTATTTCCACTTGTAGCAGTTTGTCGTAAATGTGTGGCTTAGAAAATTTTATCTCATACACTTACAAGTTGACATCATGTTTCATAAGTCTCATACGAGAGTCTCTGGGCCAACACTTTTTGTTGTTGTACCCCACAATGTTCTCATTATTTGGATCAGGATGTTCCGTGAGGTAACGCTGGATCAGATCACGGGCCTCCTCCGCTGAAAATCTGCAATTCAAAAATAATTATTTATTATTAGGAAATTGCTCCCATCATACACGCTTTTCTGTTACCGAGATGAGTAGAATGTAAATAACTCTGCTTTGATATTTATATGTTCACAAATATTAACTTCAAAATACACATATTCATTATTCCATTAAAAAATAAACATGTTGTCTGTGTATTATGCATTAACCTCCTTTAAAAGTAGTTATTGTGAATAAGAATAAATTGGAAAACTTCAAGAAAACCTGAAGAAAAGATGAATCCTGTCAATGTAACGTGAATAAAGTCTGATTGGATGAGCTTGTTCTGTGACAACATTCTGAAGGGGAAAAAGGTGAAAAGAATTATGACTCTTGCAATCCATTTGCCTACACCAAACCAATAAAATTCAAAACATGTTAAAGTCATTGTTTAAAAGATGATTACAATATTAAGTATACCTGGAATGTAAGGAAATCATTGGGCAGCTGTGGCGGTCCAGCCATCTCACTGGCTCTGTGGAGACCCAAGACCAGCAGGTCCAATACAAGGCCATAGTACTGAACAATGAAGGAAGCAAACTGCAGGCCTCTGATGATACCATAGGAATTGGTGTGGTTCATGTCCTGTTAAAGTGAATCAATCAACAGAAATTATACATCATATAACTGCACTATGCTCTACACTATAAATCTTAATATTAAAACCAACCAAATATATCAGATGCAAACATTTAAAAATGAATTTTCTTCAAAAGGTCAAAAGGTGGTTGTTAATAACATTATATTTTTATAATGCAGTCACTTATCAACTTGATTAAATACAAAAATCAAATGGGATTTTTTCCATTAAAATAATTTAACAATGAAAATGTTTACGTAGATAGTCTATTTCTCATTTACGCTTAAGTTATTCTAGTTCTCATTTTTTTTTTTTATCACAAAAGACCAATACAATTTTTTAAAAAGGAATTTAAGATTTTAAAATATCTCTTTAAAAAATTACTTTGTAGTTGATAACAACGTTGTTTTTTGCAGTCATGTAGTCAGCAATGTTGTGATCCACAATGAGACGCAGCAATCTGTTAAGCAGGGTCAAGTCAATCTTCTCATACATCTTCTCAAAGCTGGACTCCATCATTACATTGCACTCACCCTCACCAGTTTCCCAAACATCTTGTAAATTGTTGATACCTTTGAAGAAAAAGTTCAGCCCACCATTTTAGGAAATAATTATGACAATTGTAGCTTTAAATGTTCAAAAAAAGGTTAAAATTGTTTTTTCATCATTTAAGCAAAGACAAAAATAACTTGAGTCACCTTATTATGACAATAAATTTGATATTTTAAGAAAGAAATACATTCTGTTATAAAATGAAACTGGACATGTTTATTTGGTAAGTATATTCATCACAGAAACTGGTCCTACCTTGGCACCATTTGTAAGTCAACAATGGAGGAGGCTCCGAGTCTGATGGCTTGATCCATGGCGGGAACAGTCGACGTTTGTCTGCTTCATACCACAGATACTGATCCAAGTAAGCATCTGTAATTTTTTCTAGGGGCTCAACATCATACACAGGAATTAAATGACTGTAGAGGTCCATGAACTCAATGCCCACCTGTTGAAACCATGAATTTAGAGTAATGCAAAACCAACAATTGGTTGTGTTGTAATTAATTAAGCTTTTTATTTCAAATAAGAAAAAAAAATTTTAAATTTTTTTCCTTTAGTAAAAAAACAAAAGCTGATTGTGGTTTTCAAACCCAATAATTGTACCTCTTATATTTGTTAAACATCTTTACCGTAAAGCAGCTAAAAGCACTAAGTTTGTGAAAAGAATGCATGGACAATTTTATTTTATTTTTCTAAAAAAATATGTAAATTTATGACAAGTTATCTTCTTCTTCTTCTATATCTTAAGGGCCCACGATCAATTTATTGATCATTTTTGGCTCCTATGCATGTAGATGGGATTTGCCATGTTTCTGTTACTGGTGGTGATGAGGAAATTATGCACTAGGGGTTTGAAGGCTTGAGGCAATAGACACAAATGTGTCTAGTGTTGTCGCCTCAACTGTTTCCTATACTGGCTTCTTGCTGGTATGAGCCTGAATTGCCTGTCATGGCCTCGTCGCTGTCTATGGGGGAGAGGGACGAGTTTCTGTTTAATACTGGAACAGTGGACCAGCCCATTATTTATCTTGTAAATCATGGAGAGCCTGGTTATGCTTTAAGTCCCAATATTTAGCACATTACTCAACTTGCTGATGTATTTTAAAAATATATGTACACATGTAAATACTGTCATACCTCTTTGAAAGCTCTCTGGGTTAGCAAATGACGTTTGATTCTGGACAAGGCCTCATGAGGGTTGTCGAAGGCCTGTTCTATCAGACCTAGTTCTTCTCTTTGTGACTGATTTAATCTGCTCTTCACACTGGAAATGTTAAGGTTTTTAAAAAAAAAATCAGTCTGTAATATATCTAACATGCATTTCATGACTTTATATGTTGAAATGCAGATTATAAAAATGTTGTTATATTTAATATATTGTTTACTTCTTGGTCAAACGTATGAAACATTGCTAAATAAAAATAAAACTTAACCATAACAAATGAATAAATGATTTTGTCAAAACTTATAAAAAATTTTTTTAAAATATACAGTGGAACCTCTCATAACGAGCACCTCTCATAACAAGTAATTCCCATAACAAGCAAAAAAAATGTGAAGAAATTGCTCCCTTAACGAGCGACATTTCCCATAACGAGTTATGCAGAAAGGGGAAGTCCCTTTTCCCGACATTCATTTGAGAGCCAGGACTTCCGCGCCGATGCATTAGTCTGTGTTTAGCTTTTGGTCTGTTAGCGTATTGTTTTCGTGTGTGATCACCAGCTTTTTCAAATTTTGTATTCGGACAATATTCGTAATTTTTTAATGTGCAAAGTGTAATAACCTGTGCTAAAATGCCTTCAAAGAAAATCCCACAAGAAGACAAAAATCAGAGAGAAAAAATAACTATTGAAATGAAACGTAAAATCATTGAAAAGCGAGAACAAGGTGTGAGCATGGCTAACCTAGCGCGCACATACAATCGGTCAATATCAACTGTTGCATCGTACATTGAGAAGCATCACCCTAATAAGAAGGTGGCTATTTGTGCTACAAATTTATTCGATGATAATACTGTGACACATTTTCATCAAATTTTGAAGCGTCTGCAAAAACAAATGTCTTTAGACAGTTTTCTAGTTAAAGGGATTATTTGTCATAAATTCATACTTTTATTTACATTTTTTGTTTCAAATCTAAATTGTATTCCAAGTTGTTACACCCCTTAACAATTCATAAGTAATTTTATTTGAATAAATGTTAATAATTTTTTTTTGAAAAATTAGTATTTTTTCAGCATGGAACGCATTATCGTATTTTACATTGATTTGTATTGAAAAAATTGTTTCGTTTAAGGAGTGTTTCGCTTAACGAGTAAGATTCTGAAACGAATTATGCTCGTTATGAGAGGTTCCACTGTATATATAAATATATATATTTACTCGAAGACAAATAATATTGAGTCCTTAGCACATATATATATATATTTTTTTTAAAATAGCATTTAAGTTTTATTACCTGTATGCCTCTTTGAGTCTCTCCAGAGCCAAGATTAGCAGCTTGGTGTCGTGTTTGTAAGACAGTGGAGGGAATGGGATAGGTGAGAATCTTCTGCTTTCCAGCCAGTGAACCATTGTTGTGTAGATGGCAACAGCCTCCTCAGCTGTAATGTATGGGCCATCTTTCAAGTAGTTATGCTGTCTCTCTTGTTCAGCCTACATAAGTCAAATAAAGCTTTATAATTAAATTCTCATCAAACGAAAATTATTATTAATACTGTTTCTTTTCTTCCAATTGGATCTGCTATAAAAGCAAATGTAAGTAAAAAAACAACAAATTTAAACAACTTGCCTTGAGGTAAAGCCTTGTCAGGCGCCCCAAGTTCTTTTTACAGACAGTTTTGTCCACAGTAGCCCCTCTCCTGATTCTCTCTCTATTGTAGTGAGCTGTGTTGGTCCACCAATCAGCTTTAGCTTTCACATATCTAAGTATCATGTTCTCAATGGGCGTGGGAAGACCAGGAACCTAGTTGACAAACAAAATTAATTATAAATCATCTTTTTTAATTTTGTAAACTCTCCATTCTCTAAATGGTTTATAAATGAAATAATTAGATGCAGAAAATGTGTCTTATGAATCCTTACCTTCCATGGAATGTTTGCTTTCCAGCATCTCCATGCTTCTGACAAATGTTGCAGGATTGTCCTTGCTTTGTTTTGTTTGATACCTTCGGGCATCATGTCAAGAATGTCATGCATGACCTAAAGAAAAAAAATGTATCTAAACATTAACACAAATAAATAAAATAATGTGTAATCAAGATTTAAAAAAACAAAAAACAACTAACATTCAAAAAGGGGATAATCTTGAATCAGTTTAGTTATAATGAAAAAGATCCTAGCTAATTTTCTACTTGCCAGGACAAATTTCCTTTTATAAATTATGAAACTAAACTATAATGAAATAAAAACAAAATTAAGATTACACACAGCAGCTCTCAGCTCAAGATCAAAGTGGCTCTCCACTCTCTGCTTGGTAACAGTCTTTGCAACTCCTTTGCTGTGTCGACCCTCAAACTGACGGGACAGCAGATTTCCCAACCATCTCTCTAGCAGTGGCGTGATGCCTCGCATGAAGAACATCCACACTCGCCAGCCTGGTGCCCAGAAACCACATCCTGGACCTTTACCTACTGGACCCTGGATGATTTTCGTGGAGAAAAAGTATTATTAGCATAACATTTTACTTACATATTTGAGTAACATAAAATGATAAATGATTTACAACATTTAGACATAGCAAAGATTTTTTCATGTCATTTATATTCAAGGATGGCCTTGTGCAGAGTATCTAAATTGTGATTACATATCTATTTCATAAATCTATGAGACTTAAAGCTCCATTCTGAAACACTAATAGGTGTTTTTAACATTTCATCACACATTTGTTCTTAATTGTATTCTATAGTTTACTCAGAACAATGGGCATTATGTTTAATGCCTTTTAAAAAATAATTTTTTTTTTGTGGCAATGCTTACCGTGTTGAATCTGTAGTAGATGAGATGTTTGAGATCTTTACACATCCTTATCTGTCTCATCAGCTTGTATTTATATCTGTACATACCAGTCAGCTGACCAACATGGGCAAATACATACTGCAAACCATCAGCAAGCTGGAATACATAGTAAAACAGTCTAAGATACACATTCTACATAAATCAAATTGAGTTGGCTTAAAAAAAAAATTTAAGGTAAAAAGATGTGAGTAAACTAATGGTAAATTAAGAATTAATTATTTTTTTCCTTTCAGTCAGCAATTCTTAACAATATTTTTTCCCCACACCCCTTGATTAGACTTTTCCTTTTTGAGTAAACCAACACCCCCCCCCCCATCCCTTTTCCCCCACTCATCACGAAGTATTAATAATAGATTAGCTAATTTCAAATGAGGCATATAAAGATATGATAGGCTTTAATTTTTCTATTTTAAAAGTTATTTAAGTTTTTTTTGTTTTTACAAATAATTTTTTTAAAACCCAAATTAACTTTTAAATAAAGTACAATTATTATCCTTTACTTAATTTAAAATATAAACATTTATTAATATTGTATGTACATGGTCCCATGTGGCTCTTAACAATTTTAATATGATCCTTGAGCATGGATCCTTATTTTTTTTTAATAAGGTTAACATGAAGATAGATATAACTTCAAATAAGAGCCGGTTTCATGCTCATTGCGATATTTATTCTACACGGCTAAACAGTAAAAATGGCTTCTGGTAATTTAACCTAAACAAATCTCAAAAATAAACACAGCAATACAATATATTTGGCCATAAAACAGAAACGAATCAATTGAAAAATATCAACATGTGTCTTTGATTAAAAATATTTTTTAAATACTATTTTTTTTGGGTTAATATGCCTCTAAATATTGAAATATAGTTTCTTGTAAATAAACCAGCGTAAAAAAACAGTTTTCCTGCCATTATCTGTGTAAATTTTGCTCAGGAACTGCTATTTATATGAATTATTCAAATAAATACAGACTGATATAATTACCCCCCCCCCCCCCCATTTTTAAGTTAAATTAGTTACCAACCTGGTAGGCATCAACATTGCCCAATCTGTACTGCACATGGCTGTCAATAATGAGTTTTGAGAGACGGAGAATTTCTCGACAAAGGTGAAAGGCATTTCCGAATCTGGATTTCTTGCGTTCCTGCAAACAAAATTAAATTCCACAATGTCATAAATTCTGTGTAGTTAATGAACTGTTAACAACTGATCATATATTTAAATCCAATACAAAAAAGCTGTTACAACTGCTCTCAATAACATAAAATTTCCAATTTACCTTTGTTGTGAGAGTTTTGACAGGTTTAAGGTTGAAGTTGTAGTCCAAGTGAAGGTAGTTGAGGTTTTTACGATGGATTAGCAGGTTCAACATGTTGTAACCTTGTCTGCAGACTTGAAGACCTACTTCCAGCCAGTCCAGCTGTGTTGTCTGGAAAAACTTGGTGGCCTTGAAGGACCGGAACAAGTACCTAACAGAACACAAATTTACTAATTAATGCCAAGGACAATGTTTTATATTTTGTAAAAATAATTCATGGATACTGTTTTAAAAAAAATGATAATCAAAATCTTAATTTTATGATAATTTATTTTTAAATAATGCTATTTGTTCTCAAAGTTTTAATTGCTGAAGATTTTAAATCGTGGTAATTTAAAACAATTGTTTAAAGATAAAATGATACTATAGTTAAAAATGAGTAGTTTTTATCATCTGTAAAAAAAAAAAAAAAATTAATTAAAAAAAAAAATTATATACCTCTTCTTTTTAAAAAAATTGTTTAAAAATAAAATGAAACTATAGTTAAAAATGAGTAGTTTTTATAATCTGTAAAAAAAAAAAAAAAAAATTAATTAAAAAAAAAAATTATATACCTCTTCTTTTGTGCCTTGGGTGCTCTATGTTTGAGAGCATTTAGAACATAATACTTCAGAAGTTTCTGGTAGGACACCCTGACTTTTACTGGCATCCCTGCGGGACAATGTTCTCTGTACCTGAACAGGAATAAAGCATTTTAGGTTGAACAATGTTGTGCAAGGTGAGATACTTTAATCTAATAAATCATTAAAAAAAAGATTAACATTACTTACAAGGTTTTTGAAGAGCAAATACAAAATATTTGTTTACTTACCATGACTTGACTAAAGGAACATCAATAGCTCTGCGAGTACGGCCAGATCTCAAATTGAAAGGACGTGGTGCAAATAATAATGCAATACCGTTTGCTGTATTGTCAGTGTACAGAGGTGCATCTTGAAGAAAGGGTTGCACAAATTCAGGCAGTTCAAATTCTTCATCATCATCTGGCAGTGGCTCAGGGTGCTAAGATTTTTTAAAAATTAAAAAAATACTTTTTAAAAAAAACAGATTATATTCTCTATTTGGATATCTGTTACATAACATGTGCATTAATATAAATGAAAGAAAATAACAACAACAAAAAATAAGAAACTGACCTTAGTTGCCTGTCTGTGAGATATTGGATTAATCAGTGGATCAAAGTAGAAGGCTGGGAGATCAGGATCCTCGGTTTTGATGAACACAACATTAGGTTCATGGTACCTGATTAGAAGAGACACTTTGAAAGCTATACAAATTTGTAAAAATTCTGTCAATATCTTTCATAAAATCATTGAGGATAAACTGGAAGAAATATAAAACTTCATTCATGCTTTCAGAAAATGAAAAAACTTATATCTCAGCCATAACCACAAACACATTGAACTCACCAAGAAAGGTGGACTTGAAAAGGGATGTTGTTGTACAGATAGGGAAAAGCAATGCGATATTCTGTTCTGACAGGCTGTCTAATGATGATTTTGTTGATATCATTGAATTCATTCCAGTCCTCATCTCTGAAACATTAATATTATTCTTTATTGAAACATGTTGACAACATAATATCATTTACAACACTTGTATTTGTAAGCTAACACGAGAATTTTACACAAGTACCTATAAGGAACTTTGACTTCAGACTCATCATTACTGGATAAGCTCTATAATTAATTGTGTCTGTTTTTCCATTTTTTTTTAAAATGGCTATTTAGTTATGCAGAACTACAAATAAACAGAGTAAACACTTACTGCAATTCCTTGTCCTTGACCAAAGGTTCAAACTTTGGGCCCCCAGGAATAGCCAGATTAAGAGCTTTGGCTGTGAAGAATGACTTGAGATCAAATAGATAGAAGTAGTTGTTATCTACCAAATCTGTAAGAAGCTGGTTGGCCATGCGGTAAAGCACTGACATAATTGGCAAGGTAAGATTCCAGCGACGGTATGTTGTTCCATTAACATGTCTAGAGTTAAAATAAATTAATGAATAGATTAAGAGATTAATTATTTTAGTTTGCTTATGATTAAGTTGTTAAATAAAGGTTTTATTATGTTTAAAATTCAAGGGACTAACTATTGCTTCATTATATATTAAACTTACTTAGAATCAATCAGTGGTTTGTGGTCATAATACCACTCCATCACAGCCTTGTCTTCCTCTGGGTCCATCTCCATCTGAATGGGTTCCAGTGGTTCTACTTCCATGATGTTATCAGCATAATCCAGTGGGGGTTCTTCATCATCAAATGGGGGAAAGCGCATCCTTTTAAAATGACGACGATCTCTCTTTTCTCGACGTAGTAAGATCCACATTGATCTGAATGTTTAAAATTAGTCATTTCTAAACATTAAGAAAAAACTTTTTTTAGTATAAGAGACAATAGATTTGCAGCGTACAAGAAAAATAAAGATTCTTTTTTTAATTTTAGGGAAATGTCTAAACTAAACTTTAATTGCAAAGTTTTAAAGAAATGAATTCAAATCATTATTTACTGTAATCAAACTAATGGACAGGACTAACACTAATCGATGCTGTGCGTAGTGCAGAAGACAGAGACGAATGGAGGAGGATAGTTCACATGTCATCGGTGGCGTCCCAACGGTCCAAGGAATAAGGGACATGATGATCATGATGAATCAAACTCATGCATTAATAATATAATTACAAATTATAAAAATTGGATCCAAGTAATACTTACCCCCACTGTGAAATGTATACAGGTTCAATAACCCATGGAATTTCATTGATGAAAGTGATAGCACCAGTGATATGATATAAAACCTTCACATCTCGAATCTGTTCCCAAGGCATTGGCATATTTTCCAGGAGTTTGAGAACAGCATGAGGCATATACTTTAGAGCTCTGAAGAAGTGAAATCATGTAATGTATTTGTTAATTATGTATAACAAACAATGAAATTGATGGAACCTGTGTTTTTTTTTTTACATAGATTATCCTGTACCAAAGGAATTTCCCTATTATGAATAAACAAAAATATCAGCACCATCATAATATTTCAGTAATAAGTAGGTTATGGACCTTAAAGAAAAAGCTCACAATTTATGGGACATAATATGAGTATTCAAAAAAATTATATTAAGAAATAAAAGATAAATGAAGATACATTTATTTTTTAAATTAAAAAATGGATATACTTTCTGAGGATTGAAGCAGTATAGGATACAAGCTACACAGACTAAAAAGTTCAGATTTGGTGTACATTTTTTTAAAAATTAGATCAATTTGATCTCATAGTATTATCAGAAAAATTATGAACTATTGTTGTCATATTGTTGTATCTGTTACATATATATATTCTCTGTCTAATTTCCTTTAATTTGATATGAAATGCAGCTATCTGGCTAAAAGAAATGTTTTCAAAATTAATTAATAGTTAAGAGCACCCTAAACAATTTCCACTGGCCGATAACTGGTTTGGCACAAACGGGGAAAACCCCCTGGCATTGAAAGAGCTCAATAAGAGCTTCATGCTTACCCAAGATAGACTCTTTTGTCATGTCGAAACTTTCTGTTTGTCATATCTCCATGGTCTCTTATAATTTTTCTCACATGCTCTGGTGGCATGTCCTCTTTTTGAGCATCCACAAAACCAAATTTTCTTTTCTCTGCATATCTTTTTGACTGGAGCTGTTGCCACTTCCTTGCTGGTGACAAAAAGAAATGGGTCCAAACATAACAATAATCAATTGCATCTGAAAAGCTAAAATACAACATCCAAAAATAAATAATATTTTAAGAATTCAATTAAAATGAAAGCTATAACTGCACACTTATTAAAATTACCCTTCTCTTGCAATTTATCCTCTGACATGTAATCTGGCATTTTCTGTTGTTGCTTTTGACCCTGTTGTTGCTGCTGCTGTTGTTGCTGCTGCTGTTGTTGCTGCTGCTGTTGTTGTTGTTGAACTTGCTGCTGTTGTACAATGTGGGAAGGTATCAACTGAGGCTGCATGGGGCTCTGCATGATAGGAATCTGGCTTAAGATGTACGGCTGGCCCCCAGGCCCTATGACTGTGTAGGGGAAAGCCATTATGTATGGCTCTGCACCTACTTCTGAAAATAAGCAAAACAAAAAACAAAAATCAGTGACAGTAATATTAGCAATAAGGCAATTTCTCTTTCATTCAGTTGTGATATGAATATCCAAAACGGTATAATACAACTTAAAAAAATCTTTATTCTTCGATTTTTAATAGAGTAAAAAGTTTTTTGATTGGTAAAATAATAAAACGGCCGATAGAAAGTTTTAAATTATAATTTCATTGGGTGGTTAATTCTAATAATAATGTTTAAATTTTCTGGCATTTTAGAAAATGGGCAGTATTGTATTTATTTTTGTGACATTTTAAGTGTTAAAAAAAGTAAGTTGGGTTTATTTGAAAAATATTTTGTATTCTTTTTCTTCATTTAACAGTGTGCAACTGAAGCACACGTATTTTAGTTGAGAAAAGGGAGCAGCCGCAAGTCCTTAGCCTTAACACTTCTTGCTGCGTATTCATATATAGAGGGATACAATGAAGGGCTTAGTATTATAAAATATAGTGTTAGTAGGGGTAAAAACTAAAATTTAAAAATAAAGAGACAGACATTGAAGTAAATTGATTAAGTGTAATTATTACACTCTTGTATTTGTGATCATACCCTTTTTTTCGCTACTGATTTGAGGGACTAAATATTACGAATTCGCTTAATTTAAATCAGAATAAAATCCAGCTCCCTGAACTAGTCAACCCCGGGCCACTGAGCCCACTGTGTCGGTAATAGGTAATCGTCCCTATTACACCAAGATAAGATGCTTTTAGAGCTACATCTGAATTGTGTAGGGTCATAGCAGTCTCTTGCAATATTTATGTATCTTAATAGGAATTTAAATGATTTTACGTACCTTATTTTCCAATACTTGTCTTAGAATTACTCTTTCCTTAAAATCCGTGCGTGAATATTTGCAAATGTTGACAGCAAAATGGCGTAGTGGTTATTCGTTGATTTTACGAAACAATGATCAAAAGTCTGGACTAATGAAAACGACAAACGAAACAATTTGATTGAGTTACGTTTTTGAATTATTGGAAATGTAAATAATACGAATTTTTCCAGTGAATTAAAATTGAAGTACCCATACTTTCTGTTGGTTAATTTTGCCCTTTAGGACCGTTTAATTATGATGTCATGAATTTCAATAGAAAGAATACGCATTTCTAAATTATGTAAATATCAAAATGAATGTTGTTCACCGTAGGTAGCGATTCGTGATTAGACTGATTAGTAGCGAATCTAGGACTAGACTAGGGTAGGGTGACAAAATCATGAACACAAAAAAAACGGGACACACCCAAGGAGGGTTTTAGTGGGATACTCTCCAGCTAAAGAGGGGTCCGGGGGCCTCCGACGGAAACTGTTTATTGAAATATGCTCATTTTAACTATTTTGAGACCTAGAAATATTTTTCAAGCTTACCTTCACTTTTGTAATTTGATTTAAACAAACTCTGAGGCATGTCATAAGATGGGTTTGCCTCTTCGTGGCGTGGCAGACTAGTAGGGTGGACTTGTCCCCTCGAAGCAAAAAAACCCGGGCCGATGACATGATCCCTAACGCAACGGGAGTAGTAACGCAATAACATGCTTACTTGTTGCCGTTGATGAATATGAGGCTTGGGTGGCAGTTAAAACCCATTCCGATGATTTTAGCTACGCAGCCGTGAGAAAGCTGCTCCTAGGCAACCATTTCGCCCCAGCTTTCCGTCCCGACCGAAAGACTCCCTGGACGGTGTGTGTGTGTGTGGGGGGGGGGATAACCCAACACCTTTCCTCCGGAGTGGAAGCCCAGATCCTTAGGGAGAGTGGATCGCGAACGCTTTAAACGCAGCGTTTTCAGGTCGACCGGACGTCTCCCAGGCCAGAGGGGGGAGGCTCCCGACGTGCCACCGCACGGTCTGGCGACGGGGAAATCCGCCGCCTGGCCTGTGTGGAGGTGTGCCGGGGGTGGGGCGCATTAAGAGCTTGCACAGATCGACGGACCACCGCCACCATTTGCCAATGTGACGCATTTAGTGACTTGAAAATGTGTTTTGGTTTTTAGAAACGCGAAATTTAGGCGTCCAGAGAGACTTTTTTCGGGACACCGGCTACATTTTTACGGGACCCTTGGTCATCCCAATCTAGGAGGATACTTTGTTTAGCTTATTTTCAATCCTATTATTTGTATCTGGAAAGGATTTGATTGATTTATATATAAGCCTATAGGCTTTATGAATGATTAAGTTTGAGTTAGGAGCTAGCCTTTTGTAAGTCAGTTCTGGGTGGCATTCTAAGTAAAGATACCCTACTGCACTTGTGGGCTACACTAGACAACAAAGTAAAGAGCCAAACACCTGGGTATAGGATCCTAGTTTCCGGAACTCGGCCGTGTGGCTATTGTCAGTGTTGATGCTAGTACATTGCCCTGGGCCATGCGTCATTAAATCTGGGTTAAACATTTAGGGTGGTCACCAAAGACCGGGGGGGGGGGGGCAAAAAAGAATTTTTTTTAAAAAAATTATATTTAAAAAAAAATCATTCATAGTAATTAAATTAAACAAATAAAAGTTTTATTAACGTTTGAGTCTAGGTCAAAGGCTCCCACATTTCACCCCCCCCCACTCACCCCCCCTCCCCAACCAAAGCATGTGTTGCCACATTCTACATAGAATCTATTCCTGTAATGTAGGCATGTAACCTTAATTAATAGCAATGTTTAAAATTTTGTTACCATAGTTTATTTTTTTTTCTTCACGAAATCATCAAAGCAATATTGAAGCTTCGTAGCAACGGTCATTCTTCACAACCTAAAGGTTGTAGGCCTACATCATAACTGCAACAATGTAGCCTAATTATCACTTGCAAGCAGGGGCGTTTTTAGGGTATGTGGCGCCCGAGATTTTCGCCCCCACCTTCCACGAATAAACTATACAGTTGACCGAAAATCCCGCTCCTCGATATAAAGAATAAAAATGCCACCCGGAGCGGACCGCCCTCCCCGCCCCCGGCAACCCATTTCTACGCCACTGCTTGCAGGGCATATGCATTATATGAACATACATTTAATTTAAACTACATTCATGGGAAAATGAGAGTCGTCAGTGTTCCCACGGCTCTGTGAACAAAGTTAATGATTTCAAAACCCGGTTGTATACGTCATAGCACAATGTATGTATTCTGATGAGGCGTATGGATGGCATGTTCAGTGAGCCAGCTTCACGAGGAACAACACCTTGAATTTGATTCTGATGTTTTCAATATTTTACCCAATCTTTAAAGGCGGAGTTGTGTTGCACAGTGGCATGATCACGCTACAAGGAAGCGTCGCCACATGATCACGCCACGAGAAAATGTCACCAAACGATCAAGTCACAAGAAAGTGTCACCACATGATCACGTCACAAGAAAGTGTCACCACATGATCACGCTACAAGAAAGTGTCACCACATGATCACGCCACAAGAAAATGTCACCAATTTATCACGCCACAATTCTACCTCAACATCCACAGTTAAGGTCGATTTAAATTGAAATGAATGTAGGCCATAGGCTCGAGCGAACCACTGCACCGGTGCGCCTAGCCGGGGAAAGGGGCAAGTTTTCTCTCATAAACAATTGTCAACCAGACATGATTCCAGAGGAATACTCCACGACTGAAACACCAGTTTGACATTTGAGCCTGTCACAGTAGTTAACAGAGGGGCATCACACCACGAAACTAAACAGCGCTTTGAATGATTAACGGAAGCCATGTGACGCAGGGCCGGCCTTTAGGGTGTGCGACCTGTGCCCTGGCCAAAGGGGCGCCTGAGGCGCACAGCAAATTTTAAAATTCCATAAGTTTATTATAGTGACGTGTGAACCTCGGGTCCAGGGTCCAAGATATTCTGATACAAGGTAACAAAAACAATTTTACTGTTCATTGTTTGTTAAAAAAAACAACATAAGTCATACACTCATAACCGAATAACTGGTTTTCTCGTTGATGATTATACTAAAAAGGGGCGCCAAAGTTAAGCTTGCACAGGGTGCCAGCAACAGTCGGGCCCCCGGCCCTGTGTGACGGTAGAGGCCAGCAACCGTCGGGCCCCCGGCCCTGTGTGACGGTAGAGGCCAGCAACCGTTCATTAATTTTTTTTCTTCTCTGTGATACTTATTAGGGAGGGTGTATGGTGAAAATTGATATTGAATATTTTTTTATATTAATTTGTTCATATCATAATATACAGGGTGGGCCAATAAAAGTGAGAACATCTCGTAGCATATGAGTTATTTCAAAACTAAAATATTTAAATATTTACTCTAACTAATCTTCTAAAGATATTGAAAGAACATGCAGAAATTTGCTGGACTAGGTCTCAAGCTGGACTAGGCCTCAAGCTGGACGAGGTCTAAATTACAAAAACGTTAAGCAAAAACATTAAAAGATGCATTACAGTAAAAAAAATGCTTCAATCAGATTTGACGAGATGTTCTCACTTTTATTGGCCCACTCTGTAGTTCAGCGTTTTGTACTTTCATTTTCAGACACACTGTTATATAATAAATTGTATTAGAATCAAATTTTGATGTGTATTTTTTTTTTATTAAGGACTGTAAATATTTAAAAATAACAACTCATGACAAGATTGAATCAGTAGGTCGTATAATTTGGTTAGTAAATAAGTGTATAAGTCCTGCAATCCTCACACAATTGTTTTCAAGTAAGATTATTGTTAATAACAAATCACAGATTCCTACAATAAAAACCATTCCGCTTGTCGATATCTTAAAGGGAAAGAAAAAAATGAAACAACTTGTCAGCCTTGTGTCATAGGCAATAAAAAGCTGTTTAGAAGACAGCACTTACTAATCAAATTACAGCACATGTATAAGCAGAAATTATTTGTTAAAAGAAAAAAGCAGTAGGCGCCATTAAAATCATACCACACTTGTATAGTTATTCTGTTTAAATAAATCATCAGTTGTATGTTAATATGATACCTTCTTAAGAAATTAATATTGACTGTTATAAATCATCTCTTTGGAAAAGAAATACAATTTAAAAACAAACAACATATACACATATATATATATATGGCAGATTTTACCATTATTAAAAAAGAAGCTGGTATGTAAATCTATGATCCATAGAGACAACAGCAGACAAATTACATGAAGTATACAGTATGTCATACTATAGAAATAATATAAACTTATTGATAGCACACACAAATCACAACACTTCCTTCTAAATTCACATAATGAGAGCATTCACAAGCTTTCAAAAAGAACAGTTGAGGCGACAACACTAGAGACATTTGCGTCTATTGCCTCAAGCCTTCCAACCCCCCAGTGTATGATTCCCTCACAAAAGAGCACATGCAGTCATTGAAATATCCTCATCAACACCAGGCACAGAAACATTGCAAATCCTCTCTACATGCATAGGAGCCAAAATGATCAATAAATTGATCGTGGGGCCTTAATATACAGAAGAAGAAGAACAACAATTAATATGGTTTACATCATTTTTTTGTAAGTACATCAAGTTAAAAGACTTGGCTGGAACTACTGTTTGTGTGTGTGTGTTTAGGGACATTATGCATTATGTATAGATGCACAGTGGTGTAGCTGGGGGTTGGGGGGGTGTGTGGACCACAGCACTCGGTGACACCAAATTGAAAAATTGCATATTTACAGAGCACTCACTGCTCGGTCAGACCGAATTTCATAAAGGATAACAAATCACAGTACATTTTCCACACATATAACCAATCAAAATGCATGTTTTATTAAAATTTCAAGGTTGGTGTGTCAGAAATGAGGTGACTATAATTAATCTGAAAAACATAGTTTTGACCATGATTCAACGCCGCTGTGTTTGGTAACTTTTATAAGTGACACTCTTTTGCAGAGATCGCTTCATGTATTACTTTTTCAGTACTCTTGAGAGAATATTTTCCTTCTTTTGCT